GTATTCTCCGCCTCCTTCTTCCACATGTTTTTCTCGAGCGCAACAAGCTGAATAGTTGAGTCAGAGACCGCTGCTGGCGGCATTTGAGTGTGTTCAAATGTTTGCCCGGGGTCCCCTGTGACGTCGCGAGGAGTGAATCTCTCTGAGGGGCACTCTGGGAGGGACAAAGGATGAGGAAGAGAAGAGAAGGGAGGGAGGTAGGGAGGAGGAAAGTACGGCATAGTGGGTTGGAGTAGGAGGAAAGATGAGGGACGAGGGGCGAGAAAGGGAGGAGTGAAGATGGAGGAGCACGTAGTGAAGAGGGAGAGGAGGAGGAAGAGTGAAGAGGGAGAAGGAAGAGGGAGAAGGAAGAGGGAGGGTACCATCCACCATAACCAGACAAGTTGAAGGTCTGCGGCGGGGAAGGCCCGCCCGCGTGACACCCCCGAAAGCGACGACAGGATCAGCGCAGCGCACTGCCAACGAGGCTCTCGACCCGGCCGAACGGCGCGACCTGCAGCGATGAAGCCAAGAGCGCCAAACGCACACGAGCGGCAGAGGCGCTGCGGGAGTGGAGCAGTACAGCTCGAACCGCCTGGCCCAGAGAGGCCTGACGACCACGGCACCGACTTCTAGCTCGGGCTTCTGCGATTTCTGCAGGCACCCTGCCTGATCTCCGTGCACTGGCTGCTGCAGTCCGTGCACTGATGCAGCACGGGTCGTGCCTGGAGGAGGTCCACCAGTAGCCTCAGTGGGGGCGTTCGCGCGAGGGTCTCCGACTCATTCGGCACATCCTGCATGCGGATCGTGCCCCACAAGGAATCCAGCAATTCAGCACACCCGCGCACACGTGCTCAGCACCAGCCATCTTCCCGCAATGCCCCGCGGCGCACAATTAATGAAGAGAGGCCAGCGCCCAGCGCTACACATGGCTGCATAGGGATGCATCCGTCGCCAAACCAATTATTTGCTTATCTATGGCCTTCGGCCCGTACCGCTACTGTACCTGAGTTTTGGGCCAGAGGATCCTTGAATACCTAGAATTCGGGATCTCTTGGCATGCGGCATGCTTCTCGGGCGCCTCGTGGAGCGAGTGTTGAAACTTCTTGTGGCCTCAAGTGGGCCATGCGGGGGCCTCTTGGGGCAGCTGGCCCTTGGGGGCCTCTTGGGTGCCTGCTGCGGCCGCGGGGGCCCACTCGTGGCGGAGGGCCCGAAACGTCACTCGGAATTCCTCCTCTTGGACTCCTCCTGGGGCCCCATGGGGCCGTTTCGGGCGCCTCTTGGGGCCGTCGTGGGGCTCTCTTGGGCCGTTCTGCGGCTCCCTCGGAGGCCTCTTGGGCCGTCTTGGGGCGATCTGTGGGGCCTCTTGGGCCGTCTTGGCCGCTGTCAAATGCCAAAACGCGAACAATCCCAGAATGCACCGTTCCCCTAAGGGGTGAAACAATTTTGACCTCCTGAGGCCCTCTCGGGTCCCATCTTGGAGCCTTCGACGTCTTCGGGGCCTCTTGGATCGTCTTGAAACAATAATCGGGGTATTCGGCCCTGGTCGCTTTTTGGTGGCATCCGGGAGGTCCTGGAAGGGGTCAAACATGTCGTGGGGGGAAATCCGGCCTGGGCCCCGGGCCCCCCCGTACGCCAGCATTCATGCGGGGCGTCTGGGGGCCCTCACCGAGCCCCAACGTCCCTGACTGCCCCGTACCCTGCGTTCTCCCTCCCTACTCCCCGCATCCGCCCACCCGACCCTACCCTGCCCCACTGCATTCCCACACCACGCTACTTACCGATTCATCCATCTGCACTGATAGATGCGAGCTCAAAAAGCTGGCTACTTGCTGGAACGCAGCCTTGTAGCAGCCCCAAGAACTCCGCGACGACACGTTGCGGTACCACCCACGGAGTGTCTCCCCACAGTTCGACACGTTCTTCTGGGCGCCATTCTCGGTGTACAGGTCGAAACGGGAGAACGCGAAGAAGACCATGCCTTCGACCTTCACCTCAGTGAGGGCGAGCTGCAGGAGGAGGGAGGGGGGACGGAGCGGCGGTTCCCCATCCAGCGCCCACGCCGCAGTCTGACCCGCGCGGCTCCCCCCCGGGCCAGATGCCCCAGCACCCGCCCTGTGGGACAGGGAGGAGGAGGCGGGAGAGGGGCTGGGGGCCAGGGCCGCGCAAGCCAGGGCCCCGTGAAAACTCCACGGGTCTCCGCTCCGCTGTCTCCCTCTGTCCCCCTCTGTCCCCCTCTGTCCCCCTCCCCCTCCCCCTCCCCCTCCCCCTCCTCCTCCTCCTCCTCCTCCTCCTCCTCCTCCTCCTCCTCCTCCTCCTACTCCTCCTCCTCCCTCACTCATCCCTCCCTCATCACTCATCCCTCATCCCTCGTCCTCGTCGTCGTCTTGGTCCTCCTCCTCCTCCTCCTCCTCCACCTCCTCCTCCTCCTCCTCATGCCCCTATTCCTCCTCCTCCTCCTCCTCCTCCTCCTCTTCCTCCTCCTCCTCCTCCTCCTACTCCTCCTCCTACTCTCCTCCTCCTCCTCTTCCTCCTCCTCCTCTTCCAACTCCTCCTCATCGTCCTCCTCCCCTCCTCCTCCTCCTCCTCCTCGTCCTCCCGCTCCTCCTCCTCTTTTCTCCTCCTCCTCCTCCTTCCTCCTCCTCCTCCTCCTCCTCCTCCTCCTCCTCCTCCTCCTCCTCCCCCTCCTCCTCTTTCTCCTCCTCCTCCTCCTCCTCCTCCTCCTCCTGCTCCCGCTCCTCCCGCTCCTCCTCCTCCTCCTCCTCCTCCTCCTCTCCTCCTCCTCCTCCTCCTCTCCTCCTCTTCCTCCTCCTCCTCCATCTCCTCATCCTCCTCCTCAAGCCCCATCTTCTTCTTCTTAATAATATTAGTGTTCGTCTTCTTCTTCTGATTATTATTCTTCTTCTTCTTCTTCTTCCTCTCTCCTCCTCCTCCTCCTCCTCCTCCTCCTCCTATCCCAACTTCTCCGCCACCTCCTCCTCATTATCCCCCTCCTCCTCCTCATCCTTCTCCTTCTCCTCCTTCTCCTCCTCCTCCCCCTCCTCATCATCATCAGCAGCATCAATAGCATAATCTCATCATCATCATCATCATCATCATCATCATCATCATCATCATCATCATCATCATCATAATCAGCATCATCATCATCATCATCATCATCATCATCATCCCATCATCATCATCATCATCATCATCAGCAGCAGCATCATCATCATCATCACCACCACCACTACCACCACCATGCCTATCATCATCATCAGCAGCAGCAACAACAGCATTATCATCACCACCACCAGCATCAGCATCAACATCATCATCATCATCGGCATCATCATCATCATCATCATCATCATCACCATCATCAGCAACACCATCACCATCATCATCATCATCGTCATCGTCATCATCATCATCCTCCTCCTCCTCCTCATCATCATCATCATCATCATCATCATCATCATCATCGTCATCATCATCATAATCATCATCATCATCCGCAGCAGCATCATCAGCATCAGCATCGCCATCATCAGCAGCAACAGCAACATCATCATCAACAACAGCAGCATCATCAGCAGCATCAGCATCATCACTATCATCATCAGCACCATCGCCACCATCATCAGCACCAGCAGCATCAGCAGCACCAGCATCATCGTCATCAGCATCAGCAGCATCATCGTCATCATCAGCATCACCATCATCGGCATCATCAGCAGCATCAGCATGAACATCATCATTATCAGCAGCTTCATCATCATCATCAGCAACGTCAACATCAACATCGACAACATCAATATCATCATCATCAGCATCAACATCAGCATCATAATCATCATCTGCACCATCATCACCATCATCTTCACATTCATCATCATCATCATCATCATCATCATCAGCATCATCATCATAATCAGCATCAGCATCATCGTCATAATCATCAGCAGCATCATCATCATCAGCAGCATCAGCATCATCATCATCACCATCACCATCACCATCATCAGCATCAGCATCAGCATCAGCATCAGCATCAGCATCATCATCATCATCATCATCATCATCGTCATCATCCGCATCATCATTATCAGCAGCAGCAGCAACATCCTCCTCCTCCTGCTCCTGCTCCTGCTCTTCCGTTTCCTCCTCCTCCTCCTCTTCCTCCTCCACTTTCAACTCCTCCTCTTCCTCCTCCTCCTCCTCCTCCTCCTCCTCCTCCTCTTTTTCCTTCTCCTTCTCCTTCTCCTTCTCCTCCTCCTGCTGCTCCTGCTGCCCCTGCTCCTGCTCCTGCTACTGCTCCTCCCTCCTCCTCCTCCTCCTCCTCCTCCTCCTCCCGCTCCTCTTCGTCCTCCTCCTCCTCCTCCTCCTCCTCCTCCTCCTCCTCCTCCTCCTCCTCCCTCCTCCTCCTCCTACTACTCCTCCTACTCCCTCCTCTCCTCCTCCTCATCCCCTCATACTACTACTCCTCCTACTCCTCCTCCTCCTCCTCCTCTCCTCCTCCTCCTCCTCCTCCTCCTCCTCCTCCCCCTCCTCCTCATCCATCTCCTCCTCCGCTTCCAACTCCTCCTCCTCCTCCTCCTCCTCCTCCTCCTTCCTCTCCTCCTCTCCTCCTCCTCCTCCTCCTCCTCCTCCTCCTCCTCCTCCTCCTCCTCCTCCTCCTCCCCCATCCATTCACCTGCCCCCTCCCCTCCCCTCGTCCCTCCCTCATCCTGCCCCGCGCGACGCCTCAAACCCCTCGTCGTAGATCATGGTGAATGTGCCGTTCGTGTCCTGCGCGGCGCCCAGGGGGGGGAAGGGGGGGCGCGCCTGGCCGTGCGGGGAGGCGCCCTGCTGGGGGCGAGGGCAGCTGGAGGCGGAGTGAGAGGAGGTCCCCGACAAGGACGAGGAGGAGGAGGAGGAGGAGGAGGAGGAGGAGGAGGCGGGGGAGGACGACAAGCTGGGGTGCGAGGAGCAAAAGGAGGAGGAGGATGAGGAGGAGGAGGAGGAGGAGGATTTGTACGTGCCACTCGCTTTTTGGGGCCGCCTGGGGTGGGGGCTTTCTCGCCACGGCCGGGGACGGGGGATCAAGCAATTTTTTGATTCCCGACATGTTCGACATTCATGGAATGGAGTTCAACAAATGTCTGATGGCTCGAGCAAGCTCCGCCCCTGGGCGCGATCCGTGTGAGAGATGTGCCAAGAATCGAAGATCGACGCCGTCTGAAGGCCCAGGGGGTTCAAACAAATTGTTCGGGTCAATTAACGCCGCCGGAGGGCATCGTCGTTGGGGGTTCAACAAGTGTCGTTCTGGCCCCAGAGGAGGGTGTGGAGGGATGGGTCAGGAGGCATCACATTGTATTTCGTTGCGTTGCGTCGTTGCGTTGTGTTGCGTTGCGTTGCATTGCATAGCGTTGCATTGCATTGCATTGCACACAAAAGACTACAGCAATGCCATCAACGCATCCTCTAAGAAGATCCCTCGGCCCAATGGTTCGCTGCAGCGCCCTCATGAAACAGTCGGTCACCAGGACGAAAATCGTGGAGCTCAGTGGGCAGCCTTGGCGGACCCCAGAAGGAGCCACATTTTTATATTTATTTATTTATTTATTCATTTATTTATTTGTTTATATATAAATGTATATATATATATATACAAAACTGCATTGGCGCCTCGCGCCATGCACCTTGTTCCTTGTGAGTTCGAATGCAGGCGGCGCGCGCGTGCGTGGACGTGGGGCCGGCCACCGCCAAGTCGGAGTGGGTCAGGATCTCCAAAGCGGGAGCGACTTGACAACGCCAGCACTGGCCAGCTCAGGGCGTTTCTGTGCCCAGAGGCACGAGTAAATCCCAGGCGACTGTTTGCGGTAGCATGAAGCAGGGCATCCTCCTCCTCTTGCTCTTCCTCCGCATGTTCCTCCCCCCTCTTTCTCCTCTTCATCTTGATCCTCTTTCTGCTCTTCCCTTCTTTTCCTCATTCCGCTTCTGAAGAGTCGGGCCCAAAAATGGACAAATGTAGGGAAATCATTGGAAAGCGAGGTTTTTGGTCGTCTCGCCTTGTCGCTTCCGATTGGCTCTTGAGGCATCGAGACAGCTCCAAGACGTCTCCAACTGAGTGCCCTGACGAGCGCCAAACAGGTCCAAGGCTGGCGCAACAGGGCCCGGAGAGTGGAAAAAGCAGAGAAAACGAAGTAGAATCGGCCTTCTCGCTTTTTCACTTCCGGCTGACTCGGGAGGCGTCGAGACGACCCCAGGACGGCCACAGGGAGGCGCAAGACAGGCCCGAGGATTCGAAAGTCTTTTGGGGGAGGGCGAGGGAGGGGCGCTCCCCGGAGAGGGGGGCCCAAGAATGGACAAATGTAGGAAAATCATTGGAAAGCAAGGTTTTTGGTCTTCTCGCCTTGTCGCTTTAGATTGGCTCGTGAGGCGTCCAGATGCCTCCAAGACGGCTCCAGATGAGGCCCCAGACGAGCCCCGAAGAGGCCCAAGGCTGGCGCAGCAGGGCCCGAAGAGTGGAACAAGCAGAGCAAACGCAATAAACAAAATGTCTTCGGCCTTCCCGCTTGTGCACTATCGCTTGACTCGGGGGACGTCAAAACGACCCCAGGATGGCCACAGCAAGGCGCAAGACAGGCCCGAGGAGGCGAAACTCGTTGGGGGGGGGGGGGGCGCGCTGGGGGGGGGGCTCCCCGGCCCTATAACAATATTGAATCGGAGTATATGAATAGATGCAAGACTGCAGTGGCGCTTCGCGCCAAGCACCTTGGTCCTTGAAGTTTGGCATGCAGGCGGAATGGCAGGAAGGCCGCGCCGACGATTTAGTGATAATTCCTTGTTGCCTTTTCTGGCATCGCCGTTATAATAATGTTCTTCGTTATCCGTCCTCCACGCTTCTTTTTTCACATTCTCGCCATACCATGCGCATTCTCCCCAGCCTCCTCAGCTCTTTTTGCGGAGGCTCCTCCTTGAAGAGCCTCTAGGGCCCTCACAAAAGTTGCGTCAGGCTTTCTTAAGGTCTTCTGGAGGCCCCCTGGGCGTGTTCTGGAGGCCTCTGGGGGTTTCCTCGGGCCACCCTGCCTCCAACCGCGATCTCCCTGAACGACCGGGTCACGATTTGGAATGCTTCGGGGGGTGTCTTGGGGCCATCTTGGGCCGCCATGGGGCTCTCTCAGGGCCGTCTTGGACCCCTGTTGTGCCGTTTTGGGGCTCTCTTGGACTGCCTGGAAGCCCTTTCGGATGGTTGTGGGGCGATTTTGGAGCTTCCCAGGCGGCTTCGGACGTCCAGAAGACATCAGAAGACCGCCGTCTTGGAGCGTCGGGAAGCCGAAAAGAGGAGAAAAAAAACAGAAAATTTAGAATGTTTGCCTCTTGGGGCCTTCTTGGAAGTGCTCTTGGAAGCATCTTGGGACGCTTCGGACCGATCTTTGGGGGTATGACGGCTTCTTGGGGATCGTCGTGGACCGTATTGAGGCTCTCTGGGGTCGTTTCGGGAGCGCGCTGGAACGCCTGGATACGCCTGGAACCCGTCTGGGGCCGCCTTCG